AGTGGTACATCTGGATAATAATAATATAATAATAATTTATTATTTGTACCCTGCCCATCTGGCTGGGTTTCCCCAGCCACTCTGGGCGGCTTCCACAAAGACCAAAAATACACTAATATGTCATACATTAAAAACTTCCCTGAACAGGGCTGCCTTAAGATGTCTTCTGAATGTCAGGTAGTTGTTTATCTCTTTGACAATTGATGGAAGGGCGTTCCACAGGGCGGGTGCCACTACTGAGAAGGCCCTCTGCCTGGTTCCCTGTAGCTTTGCTTCTCGCAATGAGGGAACCGCCAGAAGGCCCTCGGAGCTGGACCTCAGCGTCCGGGCAGAACGATGGGGGTTGAGACGCTCCTTCAGGTATACAGAGCCAAGGCCTTTTAGGGCTTTAAAGGTCAACACCAACACTTTGAATTGTGCTCGGAAATGTACTGGGAGCCAATGTAGGTGTTTCAAGACCGGTGTTATGTGGTCTCAGCGGTCGCCCCCAGTCACCAGTCTAGCTGCCGCATTCTGGATTAGTTGTAGTTTCAGGGTCACCTTCAAAGGTAGCCCCATGTAGAGCGCATTGCAGTAGTCCAGGGGTCTGCAACCCGCGGCTCCGGAGCCGCATGTGGCTCTTTTACATCTTTGCTGCGGCTCCGGGGCGGATACTAGCGAGGGGAGGAGGCGCATTGTGCGCCCCGACACTCCTCACTGTGGCGGGTGCTGTACTGGCTGTGACATCGCATGGGGGCGGTGCGTGCGTTAGTCACGCACAGTCCCGACGTCACCTTCCTGCCCGCTGTCAGATCGTGGCTCCGGAGATATATTTGTTTTAAATGTCGCAATGGTTTTGCGGCTCCCAGTTGTTGTTTTTCTTCAGAAACGGGTCCAAGTGGCTCTTTTTGTCTTAAAGGTTGCAGACCCCTGCAGTAGTCCAAGCGGGAGATAACTAGAGCATGCACCACTCTGGCGAGACAGTCTGCGGGCAGGTAGGGTCTCAGCCTGCGTACCAGGTGGAGCTGGTAGACAGCTGCCCTGGATACAGAATTGACCTGCGCCTCCATGGACAGCTGTGAGTCCAAAATGACTCCCAGGCTGCGCACCTGGTCCTTCAGGTGTGCAGCCTGGAACGGGATCCGTTTCGGAGCCCCGTTCACATCCAGAAGTGAATGCAACCCATGTCCGCGCGTCTGCGGGTCGCAACTCGCCGCTTCTGCACATGCGCGTGACATCATTTTGACCGTCTGCGCATGCGCGAGCTGCGAGACCCGGAATTAATGCGCTCCTTCCAGGTCGCCACAGCGTGCAACCCGAAAGTACTTATCCCGAAGCTACTTCAACCCGAGGTATGACTGTAGTCCTCAACCCAGCAGCTCTGAGACTCCGTATGTCTTATACTCCCCTTCCAGTTCCACAGGAGAGCAAGCCCATGGGAAGAAGGAGAGTGTATCTTTGTTGTCTATAAGGGAAAAGGGGCCTCTGGCTCTCTGAGCACTGCTGAACTTCATTTCTCATCAACCTCAGCCAGCACATGGCCAGTGGTCGGGGTGGTGCGTGTTGTAGCCCGACAATATCTGGAGGGCCACAAGATCCCCATCTTGGCAGGGGTGTAAAATTGTGTTCCTAGAGGAGTGGGGAGACACTTTCCCATCTCCTCCAGCGTGACTAATCATACCGTCGGCCAGGCTGCTCCACTTCCCCATCACCCAATATCAGCATTACAGTGGTACCTCAGGTTAAGTACTTAATTCGTTCCGGAGGTCCGTTCTTAACCTGAAACTGTTCTTAACCTGATGCACCACTTTAGCTAATGGGGCCTCCTGCTGCTGCCGCACCGCCGGAGCACGATTTCTGTTCTCATCCTGAAGCAAAGTTCTTAACCTGAGGTACTATTTCTGGATTAGCGGAGTCTGTAACCTGAAGCGTATGTAACCCGAGGTACCACTGTATTTTGTTTACAAGGCCAGCATGATTCTTGTTTGTCCAACATCCTGCTAATCAAAATTGGGACACTCCTTTTTTAAAAAAATATCAATCTCTCACAGGAGTTAGTTGACTCGCACCAGAGATCGAGATAAAAAAACAAGCATCTTTTGGTCCGGTGCTCGGCTGACTCACACCAGAAAGCTGAACCAAAAAACAGGACATTCTGGGATCCAATCAGAAGCCTAGGGTGTCCCGCTCAAATTGGGACAGTTGAAGGGTATGCAATGAAAGTTGGTGGGGAATGGTTCTCTGTAATCACCCAGCTTATCAAGGGACTCCATGGGTCCACAGTTCTGAGTTGTTTTTAGCATCTGAAATGTGCCTGATTTCCTTCTGTCTCAGGTTTTCTTTCTCTTTCCCCCCCACTGTAGAATTCTTCCCTGAGTCACACAAACAAGGCAAAGAAGCAAAACATAACAGCAATTTGGATTGCTGCTCCTGGTGTAGGGCACGTTGAATTCAGGTACAGGCTTGTTTTCTCTGTATAAGGGAGCAGCACTTCTTAATGCCTTAATTCCCCCCAAAGCCTTAAAGTACTTTATGGTTGTAAATGTATACTAGACTAGGAAGCCTACATCCTGCTGGGATTGGCTACAAGAATCCATGTCTCTGCTGCAGAAGGGTCAAGCATTTTTCTAAATTTCACTGTGGCTTGGCTCTTTGGCACTGGGAACTGCTGCAGTGAAAACAATAAGCAGCATGCATAATTCCCTTGACTGTTTTGATTCTGAGTTTTAAGTTGTTATAACTCACCCTGGGTAAAGGGTGGGTGGTGGTGGTATTAACAGTGTAGACTGAAGCTGTTAAATCCACAAATTCCAGGTTATATAATCAATCAAATTTTATATTTGAAAAATAGAATAGTGCAATCTAGAAGAATTGGTTGGCTGTATCTGGTCAATGCTTTCTAAAATTATTTACATGCTGTGTATTCCACCATTTTCAGAGCAACAGCGGTCTATAATTTTTCGGTATTCTGGACTCAAGTTCAAAGTCAAGTTCTCGTGTCTTCCAGTTCACCACTTGTTCCAGTAAGTTTTAATCTGGTTTACTGGCCATCTTGTTTTACAAGTATGTAATAATAATACCGTGCATTTAATTTAAACTATTCTTAGAGAACTTTATTTTTTGGTGTAAGGACTACCAGATCATGTCAATAGTTTAAACATTCTATTGCTGAAAACTGTAGGGGGGGGAACCACACTCATAAGCACAAAGGAGACCAACCTTTTTTTGGCCTGAAAACTACATTGACTGTAACCCACATCTCTGAAGGCCAAATACCAGCAACGTATACGTACGATACAGACATATAGAGTAACAAGTGCCATATGTTATGTACTGAAGTTCTCACCCTGGGCCAGCAGGGGGATACTGTAGATAGTTTTCACTCAGGTCCACATATTCAAATAAGGGATTAAAAGTGACATTCAGTGATTGGATAGCTACAGAAAGTGTTAAAGTTGCGTTGCAGTGGAGCTCTATATAAGCAGGCTGGCTGAACGCTTCAGTTCAGTTCTGTTCTGGCATGTGAATAAACAAGAGCTGTTCGAAGAATCATTGCGTTGTCTGATATGTTCACTCACAACTTAACACCATACACACTCCCTGACATTTATTTCCTGGCAGGGCAGGTTACAACAATTAAAACAATATAGGTAGCTCACAATCTCTTCCTCAATCCCAGGATTTTTGACGGAAAAGCTGAGAAGTAAATTCCTTTTCCTTAACCATTTTTTAATGTAACCAATGTTCTTTTCTTTCACAGACCGTCTCCTCCACAACAGTAAGTGTTTGATCTTTGCATTTTGTTTTAACACGACTTGTTTCCCGCTTCATCCAAGCCCATTTCTTCCATGTCAGTAGTAACCTGAATATGTTTCTTTTGGAGAGGACAGTTGTTGTGTCCGAAACCCAGGCTTGTTTCAAGGTAACGTATGGAATTGTGCTGTAAAGGGTGCTGTAAGTTTGGCAAACTCCAAGAATCCCTCCAGTGGAAATGACACAAGGATTGCGTATCGAAAGCATGCTAAAAACAAATGCAAGAAGGCCTGGCAGCATTTATGCACTCCAGGTGTGTGTCTCTGTGTGTAGTGTGTTCATTACGGTTGCAATGAATCTATCGACTTACCTGGGACTTTCATGTACCCCTGACCAGACATGCAAACAGGATTCCATTTATTTATCATGTACTTTTAAACAGGTGAACATAGTCTTATCTTAGAGGTGGAATTAATATTTTAGAAAAATAACTACCAGCCATGTTTATTGCTGATGGTTGATGGGATCTACTCTTCCTTGCAGATCTCCACAGAGGAAGGGTGTGGCAAACACAAGTTCTGTTTCAGTAACCCTGCAGGCTGCAGTCCAAGCAACCCAAACTGTTACTTCATGTCATCCGCGGCATTAGGGAGCGATGCTTTCCAATTTGAAATAAGTGGACTTTCAGATGGATATGTAGCCATTGCCTTTTCTGATGACATGATAATGGTGAGATACTGAATGATTTTTTTAAAAAAAAGATGCTTAGGGTCTAACTATATTACTTTAATGTACAGAGCTTGCAGCCATGTCACAATTATTTTTTAAAAAATGTAGCCCTAGGTGCAGCAAACATGACAAAGGTATTGTTGAGCTAAAGGTAATAAGAGAGGAACAAGTTAAAATTGTGTCATTTTCAATAGAATTTCACTGGTGTTCACATTGCATTGATTCTGCATACAAATCTGCAAGATTTTAGTTCTTGCAAAAATTGAAAGCGCTTTTTTTGAAAACCCTAAACATTAAGCAACCCTTAAAAAAACACAAGTAAGAAAAACTATTTGTATTGCGTTATATGTCGCTGAAAGTCAGGAGTGTTATGTACTGAAGTTCTCACCCTGGGCCAGCAGGGGGATACTGTAGATAGTTTTCATTCAGGTCCACATATGCAAATAAGGGACTGAAAGTGACGTTCAGTGATTGGATAGTTACAGAAAGTGTTACAGTTGCGTTGCAGTGGAGCTCTATATAAGCAGGCTGGCTGAACCCTTCAGTTCAGTTCTGTTCTGGCCTGTGAATAAACAAGAGCTGTTTGAAGAATCGCTGTGTCGTCTGATATGTTCACCCACAACTTAACAAGCAGTCCCTGTGGTTATGAAAGCATAGAGCATTTATGGACCCCAGAGCAAGCATGAATGTAGGAACATCGTAAGATGCCAAATACCATCATACCATTGGTCCATCTTGCTTAGTTTCCTCTAGGCTGAATGGCAGTGGCTTTCCAGGGTACCAGACCACATACCTGCCTTCCCCTTCCCCACCTCCATTCATTGTCGTCAAGGCTTCTTCTTCTGCAATATGCATCCCATACTCAAACCAGGTACCCTTAGCTAAACTGGCAGATTTCCCGTGGGCTAGTAACATTAGAATAAACAAATATAGCGTGCACTCATTCTGAATAACGGGAGACTGTTGTGCATCTTTTCCCAGGGAGATGATGATGTTTATATCTGTGGTAAGAATGGAACGGATCGCATAGAGGTTCAACACGCCTTCTCAACTGGACGTAGTCGTCCCAGCCCAAGGCCTCTGGTACTGGAAATGTCTTCTGCTACCTTCGTTTTTTAAAAGTATGATGTGTGAAACTATCAGGAGTGTGGGAAACCTGTACTCCATGATTTCTTATTGGATGACAGCTCTCCTCCTTAAAAGTTGTATTTATTTATTTAAGGCATTTCTACACCACTTACTCACCATGTTTTTCACCCCATAAGACGCACCTGACCATAAGACGCACCAAGTTTTTAGAAGGGGGAATGCAAGAAAAAAATACTCTTTAAAGGGAGTGCTGAGCAGAGCCTGCCCTTCTCCCTCCTTGGGGAAAAGCCCCCCACGCTCCACGCAGCTATTTAAAGGGAGCGCTGAGCAGAGCCTCCCACCTGCATTCGCTCCATAAGACGCACACACAGTTCCCCTTACTTTTTAGGATGGAAAAAGTGCGTCTTATGGAGCGGAAAATACGGAATTCATGTTTTTATGTGGTGTACATTTAAAAAAAATCCACAGACAATAAAACAATACAAATTCATCATAATGCCAGACTGGGAGCACTGGCCGCAGGCAGTGGGATTTGCAGTCAGAAGGCCCATTGGCTGAAATGATTTGATCTCTGCTTAACAGGGCAAAGATTAGATGACGAGCATCCCTTTCAGGGAAGTCAGTAAGCTTGAAGCCTATGCCGGAAACACCCAGAGATTGATCCTTTTGTCTGATGCTGGAAATGCTAGTCAAACTAGTCAAACTGGAAAAGCACAAGGGAATAGTGCCTTTTCTTCCTGAGTTGCAGTGGTGGGTTTTTCAAAGAATGGGGAAGAATATAGGTTTTCTTTTCAGGGGGGTTGAGGTGCAATAATGATGAATCTTCAGGATTTGTATAAACTCATCCCTTTTTAGCTCTTTATTATAGGAAGAAGGCAGATACACACAATTGTGGATTGTATTTCCACAATTAGGTGAAAAGGCAGAGATATTATAATAGCATCACATTATTTTACTTGATTATTATCAGTTTATTGATTACTACTGTGTCTGTTTCTATAAGTTTATGTATAATGGTCAAAATGACTGTGACAGATAACTTTGCTGTGTGTGTGTTTAGGGTAATGTGGACATTCTGACAACATCCTTCAGCGAGGGAATTATCAGATGTTCTTTCATTTCGAGAAACCCCATATCAAACCCAGGCAAGAAGCACTGACAGTTTGTACTACGTATTTCTGGCTTTTGGGCCATCTCACGCTGATGGTGAGTTCCACATAGAAACTGGAAATGGGGACGGTGTTTACAAGAGCAACTGCATACAGAATTCTGGAGCTCAAGGCTTAAAGAGCCTAATTGTAGCAAATGCCTTTACGTATGATAGCTGGAAGGCTTTTATCGCTCCAATATGGGGGGGGAGCGAGGAAAAATGGGGGGGGGAATAAGGATGATATGTTTCTGGATAATATGTTTTGTTTTAATTTTGAATAAAAAGGAAGACCCAGTCATCTTCCTTAACGTTGCCTGTACAGAACCTTCTTGCATACTTGAGACCTGTTGACTACAGAGACCTGTTGATTTTTAAATACTGTTGATAGCTTTGTTCATGCAGGAATTCATTTTATAGCAAGAGGCCCTGCGGTAACTAGTTCTTCTTCTTTTTTAAAAAAACAAAAACACTTGGAGGGACGATACGGAAGCATCCCAGGACACCCTTTATTACTGATCAGAAGGTGAACATTTCAAGCTTTGCAGCAGTAGGTGGCACCAGTTCTAGACCCTTGATGATCAAAGCTCATGGTAAGTAACTTTTTTGAGAGTGGAGTCCCAAAGTCTCTTCTTTCCATTCCACCTCTTGCAGTACCTCCTGGGAGAGATGCTCCTGTTGGGTCTTGGTCTTGTGGGTAGATTCTGTACATGTTTAAGTGAGCCTAGTTTAGTAGGGATGGATTAGTTGCTTCGTGTCTTTGTTTGTCGCTCCTCTCAAGCTCTGATAGTGATAAATAAATTACATTGCGTGTTCAGACCCAGAATCCTCCCGCCTCAATAAATTCACACATGACTCAAATTTTGGTTTTGGTTTTTGGCAGAATTGAGGCCACAACTTTATTGATTACAGAAAGTGACTGGTTGCATAGGCTCTGGTTCGACTAGCTCCCTGCCATGCAGGTAGCACTGACCCAGGGCACCAGCATAGGTCAGCCAAGGGTGAACACCTAGATAATCTCTACCACCCAAATGTCCCCCTGGACTCAGGCACGGGCACAACTCCCTCTCATGGGTTGACCAAACCATTGAGTCTTTGGATTCCTTTAATGGAGTACCCTTCACCATAAGGATGGCAAGAGCATTCTCCCATCCCTATCACCTGAACCAGAGCCTATCCGCAACCTTACAAGTTGTGACGATTTGCTACGCGGCAGGCAAAACCCAAATGGCAACAGCCAATCAGCCAAGTGGGGAAATTCCTACCGTGCCCCTGTCCCAACAATAGACGACACACGACGGCATAGCAAGGTCAAGCACAAAGCCCCCAAAATAGGGAGAGGTGGGTGGGTGTTCCCAATGCACATGCCAAAAGAGGAAGCTCTGGGTCACGTGCATGGGTATATTTAGGTCCCTTGATCCATTTAGGCTGCGTCCCATTGGCCTGATTAAACCCAGCATCAAGGGACCTACCAATTGGGTGTTGTGGCTATTCAATTAAACCCACCCACAACACAAGGTTTGGTTGCCAGGTCTCACGGCTACACGTGCCCTCTTTAAGGGAGGACCTGATTTATCATTATCCTGCATGTCCATTTTAATTTTAAAAAATAATTAAAATTATTTATTGTCCATTCATATTTCCTTACAAATATTTCTAGAATCCTGCTAATGTATTAATCTGTGTACATTGCTTCTGTATATATGCAACAAAGTCCTTCCAGTCGTCTTTAAACTCATTGTCATCTCTTCCTCTTAATTTCAATGTCAATCTTGCCATTTCAGCATATTCCATTAATTTAACTTGCCAATCTTCTTTAGCTGGGCACACTTCTTCTTTCCATTTCCTACTAAGGATCGAGCTGCTTGCTGAGTAATTTGAGAGCTGCTTTACCTTATAAATATGGGTGGTGCAGTACCCGACGTCGCCTGTAAAAACAAAATAAAGTACATGTCAGTTTACTAGAGAAATGGTACATCTTCCAGAATAGCTCCTAGAGTTTTGCCAAACATATATTTATTTTGATTAGTAAATATACGTTCTATTTTTCTTGCGTTCCTTTGGCGTAGAAGAATGATGGGTATACCAATGTGTTTGTGTGACACAACATACTGTACATTTATTTATCTGTGGTACTTACAACGCCTCTTCAATGGGAAAGAGCTCTCAGAGTGACTCACAACAATCACATAACAAGATGGCCCCTGCCTTCATGCTTAAAATCTAAAGGATAGAACACAAAAGGATAGGAGATTGGGGCGGAGGAGGGAAAACTCCCCCTCCCCCCACACTCTTGAACACTTAATGAAAACCTTGTAATTTTCAGGCAGGGAGCGGCTGAAGCAAATTCCCTGGAGTTGCTCCTTCTCAGGCCACTGATAATTTGTTTTTTCTTTGTCTCCATGTGTTTCCTTTGCTTCTGTTCTAAGGAGCCCTCATGTTGATCGCTTGGATGACCACAGGCAGTGTGGGAATGATATTTGCCAGGTACTTGAAGAAATCCATCAAGAAACCTCTCTTGGGTAAAGATATTTGGTTTCAGGTACGCACATTAATAGATCCATGGTTGGGTAGAGAGGACTGTTAGGTTGGCCCCTACGAACAGGGGACTACAGTAGTTTTAGCTGGTGAAATCGCGTTCAAGCTTTGGGATTGCGCAGATCGTAATAGAAGTGTGTGCACATCTTCAGGTGTTTTTTTTTTTCTGAGTTCAATGCAGCAGCAGCAGTAACCACAATCCAACCACCGCCATTTGTTCTGATTCTGCGCTAAAGTTACTGTTTCTCCAGAGAAAAGAGGCAGAGCAAATGGAGGTGTGGATAAGCCCTCAGACTATATATATATATACTGGTGTGATATACCATCTATACATCATTTTCATGTAATTCTCTCTTAATAGTATGCAATCTGTGAATTTTATATCAACTTTCCATAATTTTTCCCAACTTTCAAATTGGATGTTGTGTCCCACATCCTGATCCCATTTAATCATAACTGATCTAACCTCTTCATCTTTGGTTTCCCACTCTAATGAAATACCATATGCTTTTTTTAAACAATTTAACATTCTCTTCCACTATTTCTTTTTGAAATCTGGAGATTGTATAACTAAACTCCTTTTTATTGTCTTCCTTAAAAATTTCATTTAATTGCCTAAGGTGTAACCAACTTTGTAAATAGTCTTTCAGCTCATCATACTTTTTTAGTTTGAGTTTACCTTCTTCTTCTGCTAACAACTCTCTATGTGTCAACCAGCTTACTTTTTTGGTCGACTTAAGTGAAAATGCTTCAGTGGGTGACAGCCACCATGGTGTTTTCCACTCTAACAGAACTTTATATTTTCCCCACACTCTTATTAATGACTTTCTTATTATATGGTTTGAAAAACCTTCATGTATTTTCCCTTTCCCATACCATAAATATGAGCACCAGCCAAATCTAGTGCCGTGTCCTTCTAGTTCTAACTTCTAACTCTTCTTCTTTTTCCAATTTTATCCAATCCCTTATCCATACAAGACATGCTGCTTCAAAATACAATTTCAAATTTGGGAGAGAAAAGCCTCCTCTATCTCTTAAGTCTGTTAGTATCTTATGTTTTATCCTTGGTCTTTTCCCATTCCAGATAAATTTTGAAATATCTTTTTGCCATTTTTTGAAGGATATATTGTTATTTCTGAAATAGAAATAGTATCTTTGGCAAAGCACTCATCATTATTGCTGCAATTTTCCTTAACGGGAAGATTCCTCCTTCCCCAGATTTCTAGAAGCCCTCAGACTTTTGAGTCTTACCCTGTTCTGCCTGTAGATGGTGAAAGTGAATCGGCTATTTTAAAGAAGGAACCAAGCCCATTGAGAGACTGTTGCCTCATCTGTACTATATATTTAAGGCAGTAACATTCAACTTTTAACTGTCATGGCTTCTCCCAAGGAATCCTGGGTGTACCACATTGAGAACTGCTGTTCTGTGAGGGGGAATGAGGGTTAAAAATAAAAAATAAAAATGGCTTTATACATATCTATTCTATATAATGGCAATAGACCAGTTAATCCTTCACTTTTCGCTGGTTTGTAATCTAATTTAAGAACATTTCCCCCCCTTTCAGATCCACTTTTTGATGATGTTGCTAACTGTCGTGGCAACGGCAATCGCTTTCATATTAAGCTTTGTGGCAGCAAATGGGTGGAGTGAGGTAAGTTTAGCTTTCCTTGATTTCTACAGCTCCTAGATCCCTGCTGAACAACTTACTTTGATGAAGGGTGATGAAGGAGGCTGATGAAAGAGCAGGGACCAATTTGCTACCCCTCTCCAAAACAGACTGCCAGCAGCCTATAGCCAAAGCCAACAAGACGTGTAACACACATATACTGTAAGACACCTCTGAGTTAGCAGCAGGGACCCACATGGTATCTTGAGGGTGCAGAAAGTGTTGGATTTTTTTCAGCACAATCCTCTGCATATTTGCTCATAAGCAAGCATGCTTCTGAACTGTTCATTGGGACTTACTCGTAATTGTGTGTTTTGTGATTGCAGTTTAAATTTGCCCAGAATAGATGTATATTAGACCTAATACCTGGGACGCGGGTGGCGCTGTGGTTAAAACCTCAGTGCCTAGGGCTTGCCAATCGCATGGTTGGCGGTTCGAATCCCCGCAGCGGGGTGAGCTCCCGTCTTTCGGTCCCAGCGCCTGCCAACCCTAGCAGTTCGAAAGCACCCCCGGGTGCAAGTAGATAAATAGGTAGCGCTTTATAGCGGGAAGGTAAATGGCATTTCCGTGTGCTGCGCTGGTGCTGGCTCGCCAGAGCAGCTTCGTCACGCTGGCCACGTGACCCGGAAGTGTCTCCGGACAGCGCTGGCCCCCGGCCTCTTAAGTGAGATGAGCGCACAACCCTAGAGTCGGACACGACTGGCCCGTACGGGCAGGGGTACCTTTACCTTTACCTTAGACCTAATACCTAGATAGCAAGCCCTGCAGTTATGCATTCTATGCCATTCAGTCAAGTGTTGGGTTTTTTTATATAAGAATTTGCTGAATATTTAAATACACTGGATTATTTAAATACATTTAATTAATAAGAAATGCGATCACTCGACCAAAATGTGCTCTCCATCAACATTTCATCTCCTAATTCCCCTGTCCCCAGACTTGGTTTGATTAGTCTGCAATTAAGTATGGGTGAATGCACAGTTTTTGTTGTTTTTTGCTTGCATTGATTGGTAAGTCTATTCCGTCTGATGTCCGTGCAGTGGTTGTTGTTTTTTAAAAAAGGAAACGTCATCTAAAAATGCCCCAGAAATGGTGGCATGTTAAGAGATGTCAAACCTTCCTGAGTGACTGTACCGAAAAGTTGCTGACTGACCACTTCTACCTATGGGCGGCAGCTTCCTTTTTTGTTATACAATGTTCTTTGCTGCCCCAAGGTCCCTTTGCAAGGACATTGTATGCGAACAAGGATTTCCTACCAGAAGAATTAAGATGCAGCCTTTTCTAAAGGAGAGGTGGCTTCCGAAGCATTTGCAAAGTGTAAATATTTACACTATTTATAACGAACTAAAAAATATCTTTAAAAACCTTTATAAAATTTTTTTGCTTTATAAATTTACCTTTATAAAAAACCCCGAAGCCTTTCTGCTGGGGATAATTGGAGAGGAAATCAAAAAGGAAGATCAAACACTTTTCCAGTACGCGACAGTGGCTGCCAGAACTTTAATAGCGCAGAATTGGAAGATACAAAAAATCCCAACTATAACTGAGTGGCAATCTAAACTATTTGATTATTTAGAACTGGCAAAAATGACACAGAAAATAAGAAATCAAAAAGACATAAAGTTTAATAAAGAATGGAATAAAATTTTGGCATACATGGAAACAGAGGTAAAAAACCTAAAAATTACAGTAGGTGCGATATAACACTTGTGATGTTAAGAATTTTCTGAGGAAAAGAAACTGCAGATAGGAAATTTTATAATATAATCCAAAACCGAGATGAAGGGAAGTCAGTTTGTGTTGTTAGTGTTGTGTGTTATGTGATATATATGTTTGTTTGTTTTTCTTTGTCTGTTTTAGCGTATGATGTTGTAAAATGAATTAAAACCAATAAATAAATAAATAAATAAATAAAAGAATATAAAAAAAGCAAAGTGTAAATAGGACTCGTACCCTTTTCTCTCTGACAGAGTGCAGGAGCCCATGCTGTTATCGGATGCATTGTCATGAGTCTCTCTTTGATTCAACCAGCCATAGCTTTTTTCCGACCATCTCTTCAAGATAACCGGTCAGTACATCAAATGTAACGCATTTTTCGCTCCATAAAACACACCCGACCATTAGACGCACCTAGTTTTTAGAAGGAGAATGCAAGAAAAAAATATTCTTTAAAGGGAGCGCTGAGCAGAGCCTGTATGCATCCCAGGCTCTGCTCAGCGCTCCCTTTCACGAGCCGTGTGGAGCATGTGTGCGGTGCTTGCAGGCTTTTCCCCAGGAGGAAGAAGGGCAGCCCATCACTGACGGGCTGCCCTTCTCCCTCCTTGGGGAGAAAAGCCCCCAAGAGTCAGTCCCTTCCCCCACCTCGTAGAAAAGCTCACAGGAGCCGCACACCCTTTAAGGAGCGCGCGGCTCCTGCGGGCTTTTCTACGAGGAGGGAGAAGGGACTGACGCGGCCAGTCAGTCCCTTCTCCCTCCTGTGGAAAAGCCTGCAAGAGCCGTGCGGAGGGTGTGTGTGGCTCTTGGGGGCTTTTCCCGCCTGCCTCCCGCTTGCATTCGCTCCATAAGACGCACACACATTTCCCCTTACTTTTTAGGAGGGGAAAAGTGTGTCTTATGGAGCAAAAAATACAGTAATTAATGAGGTAAAAAAATATAAATGCTTCCTTGAATTGCAGAAGCATTATACGCTAAACGGGCAGAACAACCTTCTTCAAAAAGCTGCTTTGGCTCTGATTTGCAATACCACAATGTGTTGGTCATCAGTAACTCGGCACAATTACAGCTGGATGCTAGCTACTTCAGAACTGCCTGTGGCAGAGAAAAAATATATTCATCATAAGATCTTAGGGAGGTTCGCAGAAGCTACCCTTTCCCATTATCATTTCAGAAGCACTGAAATTATAGGGTTTTCTTGATTTTTAATTGTGCTGAGCAAAATTGTAAATACAGACAAGTGTTATTTTTAGCCATTTATTTCTCATAGCAAGGGCTTTTTTTCAATCAGAACTCACTGGAGTTCTGGCACCTTTTAGGGGTGTTCTGACACCTGTTTTGTGAGCTACCTGCATAGCCACTGAGCAACCAAAACCATCTAATGCCAACAGTGCCCTTCAGCTCTCTATATTGGACAAACAGGACAATCCTTATGCCAAAGGATAAATGGACATAAATCTGAAATCAGGAATCATAAAACAGAGAAACCAATAGGAGAACACTTCCATTTCCCAAGATCTTAAAGTAGCTGTCTTATTGCAAAAGAATTTTAGAAATACACTTGAAAGAGAAGTTGCTGAGTTACAACTCATTACCAAACTAAAAACTATGGAGAGACTGGTTCGGAATAGAGATATTGGATTCATGTCCCATTATACATGCTAAAGCTAATTTTGGTCATCTATCCCTTCAAAAATCCCTTGCCCTGTGGAACCAACTGCCATCATTAACAGTCATCAACAGTTATAAGGTTGTAGCAACCTCTGCTTCAGAGTATCTGAAGAAGTATGTATACACACAAAAGCTCATACCTAGAAAGCTTATACTTAGTTGGTCTTTAATGTGCTACTGGAATTATTTTTAAAAAAAATTGGGGGGGATATTCTTTTAAAGACTGTCTTAAGACAAAAAGACTTGATTCTCTTAAGGGAGTTCTTTTTGGATCATCTTTTAATATATATTTTTTAATCTTTCATCTTGTTATTTATTACAACCAAAACCAGTTCACAGCCATATCTGCAATTAGGCAAAGCTAATGGGGCAGAAGGCAAGGCCTTGGCACTTCTAGAACTAGATAACAATGAGACCCTGATTCCATAGCTCTGTGTTTTGCCAACTGTGCAGTGTGCCAGGAGTAGCAATGGAATTCCTGGCACAAGGCATGGATGGTGGCCAGCTTGCAAGATCTTTTTGGCACCCAATGTGGAAGGTGAATCTGAGTTGGAGAATCTGTGCGACCCTCCAGAAGTTCTTGGGCTCCAATTCCCATCAGCCCCAGTCAGCATGACCAGTGGTTAGGGATGATGGCAGTTGGGTGTCCAACCATGTCTACAGGGCCACAGGTTCTCCAGTCGTGTGATAGCTCTCTGTGCCTATGCATATGTATGTTGGGGAAGAGGGACTAGTAGGTGTCTTGCATGCTCTCTCTCTTACACTCTCCCTGTGAGATGTACTTTAAGTGACAGCATTGTCAGAATCACTGCTGTGTAACTCAAGCCTTTTAGCTAGGCCCACTGTTGTTGACGACATCCAGTGCCTTGTTGTTTTCTGGCTCACAGTAAAAACAAACCAACCCAACCCCTATTCCATTTGGGAAAGATAATGCTTTGCTCTGGTGCGGTGCCTTTAGGACTTACAGAAAACAAATCTGGAATGTGAACTGAATACAACGGTGTGCATAAAAAGAGACCTGCTGGAGCAGAATAAAGAGCCATCTCATTCATCATTGTGTTTCAAGCAGAGACCAGCCAGATACTTTATAGGAAGTCCTCAAGCAGAACTTGAAGGCACCAGCATTCGCTGCTGTTGCACCCCACCAATTTGTAGTCAGTGGCACATGCCCTCTGAACATGTTTCAATAGGCTAACAGCAGCATGGCTGTGCTCCATTTCCCCCAGTGGCAGCCATAGGTGTGCTAGATGAGTTCTCCACCTCCTATTTAGTGGAACTGAACCTTACAGCCCTCTGCTCCGCCACAAGGAGAATGCAATGGACAGAGTAGGCATGATGTAACCAGCTGATGTTTACTCCTTGGGAGAGCAAAGATATCTAACAGTGTTTTGCATTGCACCAACAGGAGGTTTATTTTTAATTGGTTTCACATGCTAAACGCATTAGTCATCAAAGTTTTGGCAGGTAAGTGGATGGGTGCTTCTGTTGTAACTTACAAGTAGGATGCTCGATTCCCACTGAGGAAGGCAGTCTAGAAATGCGCAAGGCTTAGATGATGCAGCACAGAATGAGATGCCACCCACCTCAGTAAAATTAGGCCGGTAGCTGCAGTGGAATGTGAACACCCTATTCCTAAGGACACATACTGAGAAACTCCAGCAATAGGTAGATACCTGGAACACAATAGCAGGTAATATACATAAGCAAAACTCGGCATGACTTAGCTCCAAACACGTCTGTTCAAAATCAGGCTGCAGGGAATCTCTGTTTTTGTTTTGAACAAGAAAGGTTCTAGCTTTGCATTGTTCAGAGAAACCTAAGTACAAGTGGGCCATTTCTGTTGCAAGGGCTCCAGGTTAACGTTTGCAAAAGTCAGACAGGACATACTGTATACCCATATTACAGAGATAATGGCATAACTGTATTTTTACTTCTTATTTTCTGGGAGTCCTGCAAATTCTGTAGACTGGGGAGGAATCTTCAGACTGTGGAAAGGCCTGATAGTTTTAAGTGGTCAAAAAACCCAATGTATGTTTATAGGGTAGTATTCAACTCACTCTTCGCCTGTGTAGAAGACCTTTTGCTTGTACAAGGCTTGTGCCCTTTCTTGTTAATGTGCCTCCTAATTTTGTTCTGGAGTTTTCTCACAATGCCCCCCCAAGCAGATTTGGGGAGGGTGCAGGGCATGCACAGAGAGAGGTGGAAACATTTCCATTATGCAAGCGGAAGTCATTCCACGTGCGCAAGGTGTTAGCTGAACACGACCCAAAATATAAAAATTCAAGGAGGCAGGATTTCAGGGACACTTTATGAACCCGGTTGGGGTGGTGATAAAACTTCTCCTGTACCATTTGCGTCCTGTAGCTGGGGGACGAAATGTATTGAATATTACGCCTAGATTTTTTTATTAAAAATAACCAGCCAGTGTGTCTCCAACAGGCTATTTTTCCACATGCGTTTGTAGGTATCAGATGCTGTGGTATCAGTGTTCCTCATTCATGCAACAATGTTCACACAATGTCATGGATGCCAATATGCCGCCCCTAAATCCCCCCCTCCTATTTGATTCAGATTTTATCTTTGCGAGGAAAATTTGATGTTAAAAACAACAATGTCCCAACCCTGTTGCTAAAGCAACCTGTTTGTGGTGTTAAGTTTCCATTTGGAAGCACCAGATCATGGAAAGGTCTAATGCCTCGCCTCTTCCTTCTTTAGTTGCCGCCATATTTCTGGGACTGCAGATGCTCAGCAGCTCTCCTAGCCAATGGATGGTTAAAACAATGGGAGGCTTTGTGGCCTGGGAATTCTTAGCTGCTATCCTGATGGATGTAACTCTGTGGTTGAAAAAGAAAGGTGAAGCTTGATTCGGATCTATGTATAAAAAGCTTTTCTTAACAAAGCACGCAAGTAGGAATTAATAACGTCCCTGTTTTTTGTTTTGCTTTGTGTTTTACAGAAATGTATGAAGATTCAAACACCAAGGTAATCTTTTTGTTCTTGCAGTCATTATCAATGTTTTGTTTTCTTAGATTTCTACTTGAGTGGAAGCTCTAAACCAGAAGGTTATTGGGAAAACCAAACAATATTGAAAATGTTGCTAGCTAACTCTATGTATGGGGTTCCGGTCCTCCTCCGCCCCACTTTAAGGAACCCTCCAGGCATTATTTTTATTATGCATGTATTATGATTTGTGCTCAAGAGAGTATTGGAGTGCTTATATGTGCACCTGCAAAAGTTTGGAGGCAGTTATACTACCTTTGTTTCCAGTCGGTGTGCATCCTGTAACTTCCTGTTGAAACCTTGCAATCACAAATATTCTGGCATTTATTTATTTATTTGGCCTGCTTTTGTTGCGCTATAGCACATGAGTGCCCTTCCAGACAGCAAGAATCCAACAACATTGGGGCAGCATCACAGAAAAACTCATAATGTGGAATGGCATGTGGACAGTCCAGTATAAACCCACCACTAATGCAGTATTATTGCATCAATGGCATTTTGCAGAATAATACCCCCCCCAAAAAAAAAGTCTGGAGGAAGCCTAAAAAAGCTAAGTTGCTTCAGGAAGGGGGCAGGTGGTGTTGACAAACTGGCCAGGCCACAGTTATTAGGTCTTCTCTCTTTTTTATGAACATTGATGAGCCGTTCAAAAGGAATACAGTGGTACCTCGGGTTACAGGCGCTTCAGGTTACAGACTCCGCTAACCCAGATATAGTACCTCGGGTTAAGAACTTTGCTTCAGGATGAGAACAGAAATCGCGCAGCAGTGGTGCAGCGGCAGCAAGAGGGCCCCATTAGGTAAAGTGATGCTTCAGGTTAAGAACAGTTTTAGATTAAGAATGGACCTCCAGAATGAATTAAGTTCTTAACCTGAGGTACCACTGTATAGTGAGCAGATCTTTCTCATGGAAGATCTCAAACTGTATATCACGTAGAGATTGTGATTAAGCTGCGTACAAACTGCGGAAATAAAATTCAAAAACGTATAACTGTTAAGCAGAATTTTCATTGTTTTAATTTTGTTTCCTTTCTAGGTGAAAAGTGAAGTGATACTGCTGCTGTTGTACCTGTGTGGCAACCTGGCATTTTTAATAGCTCTGCTTATAGGTATTGGAAGTTCTTAAAATCGGTTTCCCGTTTGGAGGAAGAATGAGAATGGCTTCTGCTCTTTTTCTACCCAGACAGAAATTTCCGACCTCCTCTGTGCAATTGTCTACCTGGATGTACTGACAACTTGTTGAAAGGCATCAACACTGATCATGAAAGTTGTTTGATAATGATTCTGAAGGAAACTAATTTACAAATGAAGCCAAATATGGCAGATCCCAAGTGCGTGAGTGTGTTGACATGAAATGCATCTTTAGTCCTGACCATGTTTGACGTACCGGATCAACATTTGGATATTGGTAGGGTTTCTTTTTCAAGCCATGGCAAGAGAAACTCTCCCCCCCCTTCTTTTATGATGCCATCTTAATCAGTTATTCTGTTACTTTAAATTTAAGGCTGGATTTACAATTTCACTCTCAGAGAAATTCTAAGTACTACAGAGGCTTCATTAGTACTCCCCTTAACTTGACAAATGCAAGCACAATCAACACGCTCTTTCTACCACGCTGAGGCTGCAACCCTGCAAACATTTATTTGCAAGTAAACCCTACTGGCTGCTTTGGAATGCATGTCTGATTAAGACTGCAGTGCCTGTGTGGTCAGCTGCACAGATCTCTCGCCTCTGCAGACTGCTCCATTCATTTCAGAGGAAGAACACAATCTGTGGTCACATTTCTTGACATGAGTTGTGCTAGGGAGCTCTTTCATCAGTGAACAATTACTGGGGCATGGCATATATTTAATTATGACAACCCCCAAATTAATCACATTACTCTCTTAATGTTTTCTCCCATGGTTTTGCTCTCCTTAAATTACTGATCTAGTCCAGCAGCTATTGGCAAGACCTTGGATCGTCCCAAGCTGCAAATGTTTTGTCACATTTTACAACTCTGTGCCAGTGTTCAAAAACCGTTAGCAATAGAAAGATGTTTCACATGTAACACTAATCATGATAGCTGTCGAAGCACAGATTTATGATTTTAGAATCCATTTGGCTCTGCAGTCTAAATGCAATACTGGCTGGCTGCCCCTTACCTGAGCCTCGTTCTCTGTTCTTCATCCTCTTCCTTGCTGCTTGCTCATTCCAGCCATCCAGCACAGAAGAGATGACGACTTCTTTTTGCCTCCCACATGCCTGCATTGTGTTATTTGCCTTCAATCTGCAATCCTCAACAATGTCCAAGGGGAATTTTGTGGTCTTCCTCCACAAGACAGCACTTGCTGTTTAGCCTCGCCCCCCCGTCTCTGAATACATAGAACCATAAAATTGTAGAGATGGAAGGGACCCTGAGGATCATCCAGTCCAACCCTCTGCAATGCAGGAATGTGCAATTGTCCCATACGGGGATCAAACATGCGACCTTAGAGTTATCAGCACCACACTCTAACTGATTGAGCTACCCAGCCTATTCTCTTCTTGGCAACAGTGGCCAGAAAGAGGGGAGGAGAGCTCCATTTTTTCCCTGGGTTGTTGACAGCCCCAGTGGGAACAGTCCATTTGGCTATGTAGACCTTGGCCTGGTACAGCATGTTAATTCTTACGCCTGTAATAATCCAAAGCAAAACACCAGCATCAATCAAAACAAAAAAAAATTCCTTCCAGTAGCACCTTAAAGACCAACTAAGTTAGTTCTTGGTATGAGCTTTTGTGTGCATGCACACTTCTTCTGTGTATCTGAAGAAGTGTGCATGCACACGAAAGCTCATACCAAGAACTAACTTAGTTGGTCTTTAAGGTGCTGTGTATCTGAAGAAGTGTGCATGCACACGAAAGCTCATACCAAGAACTAACTTAGTTGGTCTTTAAGGTGCTGTGTATCTGAAGAAGTGTGCATGCACACGAAAGCTCATACCAAGAACTAACTTAGTTGGTCTTTAAGGTGCTACTGGAAGGAATTTTTTTTTTGTTTTGACTATGGCAGACCAACACGGCTACCTATCTGTAACCAGCATCAATGTTATGATCAACTTTTGTATTATTATTCATATGCTGATTTTTAAATATTCCTTTTGTACTGTTCAGATTTTATATGATTAAATGCAATTCTTTTTGCATCTGTTGAAATAAAAGTCTCATTCAGCGACAAGTGGCATTCTCTCTTGCAAATGCAAGCAGGTCTTCTGTTTTCCTACAACTTCCCTACACAAACAGCTCAGAACAGCTCAGGAAGCTTGGCTATAACTCTTCAGGATTTGGAGAGTTGCCGCCCAAGATGTTTGGTGTCTTATGCAAAGAATAAGAATTAGCCCCTTCCTGGTCCACATACAGATTGCAACCCAACCAGCCATTGAATCTTAACTTCAGCACTGAGATCAACACTTGAGGCCAGCAGCCTAGTTTAGGGGCACAGGGCTTGCGAGTTCAAGGTGCTTGGGGGCAGTGGTTGGAGCTATTGTTACCCAGTTCCCCCACCAAGCATATCAGTCACTGCACTCTGCCTAATAGTAGGGCCAGCCCAGTCAAGGCTGTAAGGGCAGGTGGGACAACTGGAGTCCTTCCTCTTGTTCTCACCCAAGTTGCTATGGAAGAGAGAGGGGGAAATAGCAGGAACTTTCCATCTCTTCTTTCCATAGCAGTAGTTCACTATTACAGTGGTACCTCTGGATGCAAACGGGATCCGTTCCTGAGCCCCTTTTGCATCCTGAAGCGAACGCAAGCCATGTGTGTGCGGGTCGCAATTCACCACTTCTGTGCATGCGTGTGACATCATTTTGAGCGTTGGCACGAGCGGCGAAACCCGGAAGTAATGCGTTCCGTTACTTCCAGGTCGCCGCAGAGTGCAACCCGAAAACGCTCAACCTGAAGCAACTTTAACCTTGAGGTATGACTGTATTTATTTGTTTATTTTATAAATATTTATTATTAAAATCCAATATAAACCACATTTTACCAATGTCAAATTACAATTCAAATTCAAATATATATCAATTATATAGCCAGTTATACACTTTGTATGACTTCCTGCGTGCTAGATTTCAAGGTGAGATGATTTTATTTCATCCTGCTTCCGAGTCTTACGGTAATTAATCCAATTACATTCAGTCTTGATCTTAATCCCTTATTGACAGCTACAGAGTTTTTGACTTCCATTCAAATTAACACATTCAATAATTGCCCCCCCCGCAAGAGGAGTTCTATGTCCCAAATATTTCCTGTTGATCTTATCCATATTGTTTCTTCATTCTTCACTATTTTTTAAACCTGTTTTCCCAGGTGAAATATATAAAGCTGTGAGAAGGGGGAGCCAGTATTGACTATGAAGGGACATGCACGGAAACTAAAGTGAATGCTCTTGTGATTTTTTATTATTCTCTTCTGTTTTGTAGCCTTTGTTGTATAGGGCTAGGAAAGAATCGCCGGCCGTCCCCCCATTCCTTGGAGGACTACTAAAAGTCAGTGCAGCAACACAGGGCCTTGGTGGACCAGTGATCTGATAATATAGAATTGTAAGGGACCATGAGGGTCATTTAGTCCAACCCCCTGCAATGCAGGAATCTTTTTGCCCAACGTGGGGCTCGAACCCAAGAGAGTCTCATGCTCTGCTGTCTGAGCTATCCCACAGGATATAAGGCAACTTGATCTGCTAATCTCTAGAGCAGTGTTTCCCAACCTTGGGCCTCCAGCTGTTTTTGAACTACAATTCCCATCATCCCTGACCACTGGTCTTGCTAGCTAGGGATGATGGGAGTTGTAGTCCAAAAACAGCTGGAGGCCCAAGGTTGGGAAACACTGCTCTAGAGAACCGCAGCACATCCTTGACGAGGGGGGAAATGGACAAACCCTGAAATAGGATGAACATTCCTACCCTGTGCATCACTTCTCTTCCTCTGTTGGTAAGACAGGAGACCCCTTTCATAATTTGCCTTCCATCCATGGCCATTAAAACGCTAGCACAATAATGATTATAGGTATTCGCTATTGTTTGTACCAATCATCGTTGCCTCATTGCATAGCTTGCTGGCAACCTCACATCCTCCAGGCCAAGGAAGTAGTAATTGCTGGCATTCATGTGCAGATAATTAGCAATCTGTTATAATCCACTGACAGAAGGAGCTCTCCTCTTAAAGCAGTGTTTCCCAAACTTGGGTGACTGGCTGTTTTTGGACTACAACTTCCATCATCCCTAGCTAGCAAGACCAGTGGTCAGGGATGATGGGAGTTGTAGTCCAAAAACAGCTGGAGACCCAAGTTTGGGAAACACTGTCTTAAAGTATCTAGATTTCGGGCTTCAGATTATGTTAAATCTGGTCAACAATATCATGAGTGCAGAACAAACTGTTGATGTGTTATGTGCTCTTTTCTGCAGCTAGAGAGAACTTTATACGAGCTCACAATGTTATTATTTCTCCCTCCACTGTCCCTGCGAACCGCCCCCCCTCTCGTATGGAGTTGCTCTTAGGCAGTACCTTATTTTCTTGCCATTTCTTTCATTGCATCAGATGTACTGGGACTTTTGATATTTGGAATACAGAAAATCAGTACTATTTAGGGGGATGAGAACAGCAATATTCAAATGAAGGTAGCGGAGAGAATCGAGGAATTGTAGAGATGGAAAGGACCCTGGCCCAACCAACTGCAATGCAGGAAAATGGCTCTGACAACCTGAGACAGGTTGAGACTGTGGGGATCTTGGCGTTACTGGTTCCAGCATCCAGAGCTGGACAATGCTAGGACCAGCAGGATAATGTATAGGGAAGTTTCAATCTTTGATGTTTTATTATATTTGTTGGAAACTGGGCAGAGTGGCTGCAGCAATCCAATCAGATGGCCTGGTTAGGTAGAGGTAAAGGGACCCCTGACCATTAGGTCCAGTCATGGCCAACTCTGGGGTTGCGGCGCTCATCTCGCTTTATTGGCCTAGGGAGCCGGTGTACAGCTTCTGGGTCATGTGGCCAGCATGACTAAGCCGCTTCTCGCGAACCAGAGCAGCGCACGGAAACGCCGTTTACCTTCCCGCCGGATCGGTACCTATTTATCTACTTGCACTTTGACATGCTTTTGAACTGCTAGGTTGGCAGGAGCAGGGACCGAGCAACGGGAGCTCACCCCATTGCGGGGATTCGAACCGCCAACCTTCTGATCAGCAAGTCCTAGGCTCTGTGGTTTGACCCACAGCGCCACCCGTGGCCTGGTTACAAAGAATAAAAATACAACCATCATCATCATTAACCCACCCTTCTTGATACAGCAAATGTAGGGCAGCCCACAGGACAGAGGGTTGCTGCTGTCGCAGGAATGTTAGGGATTCACATGCCAGTCTCTGAACCATTCACCTCTGCAGCAGGAAAACGTTTGTTGGGGGGAAAAGTCCAAAATATTATTGAAGACCAAATCACCACAATAGTGTCTCATAGTATCCCACTTGGTGGAACGGAAGACTGCATTCATCTATTTTTGCAGCTGCCCCATGCTAAAGATGGCCAGCAGGACCCCAGAGAACATTTTCTGCAGGGTCAGGGTGTCTCAGAGGGAGCCCAGCACCCCAATAAAAGAAGTGGCAAATAATGTTATGCTGAGGAGAAGGCGGCGGCTATGCCCCTTGGATGGTATCCAACATTACATGACTGGACTTCCCCTTCTTTTCCTCCTGAGGAAATAAACAATGCATTGGGAGTGAACAATGACCCATACTGCTGAAATTATCTACATCTTAAGGTCCACAGGTTAATCCTGTTCAAAATTTGAATGAGCATTTTTGCTAGTGTAGGTCTCACATTCTCACTGAAAACTATTCAGAACAAGAAGCAGGAGCAGCGCTGTGTTAAAAATTGATTTAATGGCAGGGTCAGTTACAATTGGCCAGTTCTGACTAGGAAGTTAAACTGGGTTCTTTCAGTCAGCTTTGTAATCTTACCAGTGCATTCATAACCCTATATTAATAATACACATCTTTATAAGAAGCAACTAGACGACTCTATTGAAACAACAGCTGTTGATCCGTGCTGTAACTTAAAATAAACTTGTGTAATATAGCATGATTTGCTTGGGCTTCCTTGTGTTTCCAAGCCGCACCTCTTGGCAGTCATGTCTTAAAATTAAGACATAGTGACACTTGGCTGGACATGCCTCAAAGCACTTTCAATGAAACTGATTTTGGAGCCAGCAGAGCACAGGCTGATTATCAGGATAAAAATGACAGAAAGCCAAGTTGCCCTGTGTTGTTCCCTTGGAAACAATGATCTGGTATCACCTGAGCAATTGCAGCACAGGATGGCAAGTGATGGAGAGATAATAGGTTTTGTACACAGTGTCCACACACCCAGCTCTTCTCATTCTGCAGGGTTGGCAAGTAAGTCATCTTGCCTCCAAGAGTCCTGCTTGCGCAGCACAGAGGTAACCTCCTCCACTTAACAGGGAGGAGGACATCTACTCTACTTATGCGTCAAGGCTTACCTTCCGCCTCTCTGTAGATAACAGCAGGAAGCGAAAGCAGTCTTTTGCAGCAACAGAGAGGTTTACTGAACACAGCACTAACATTGAGCATCCATTCTCACAGTGCAGATGATGGAGAGATAATTGAGTTCCTCCCACTTCCCTCTAGTTACTTCCGTCTTCCCATCTCCTCACCGCATGATCCCTCCACCACTGAGCCTTCTGAGAGGCTG